TAAGGTTATATTTCTGAGCGACTTTATTGCATATCCCCTCAGTGACGTTTGTCTCGATGTTGCTATTGGTTTCAAGTGGCCTTGGTTTCGGGGCGAGATTTAACTGGCATAATATTGTGATTTCATAGACATATCTCAGGCTCATACGTGAAAGAAAGTTATTAACCTGTAATAAGGAAAAGTTGTTCAGAAGGTAAGGAGGACGTTATTTTTCAATTTATTTGTGTACATACTATTGTGCACCGAGTTGCATTGAGTTCAGCCAAACTGCAATCAACTAGACCGCGCAAATGTCCTCAAGGTAAAGCTGGAGGCGCCACTTCAAACAGGGGATATGCCTTATCAACGCCCATATTTCTTAGGTGAACTAAAAGTAAAGTCATTGTGGGGGAAATATATAAGCCCTTTAGCGATCCTAAATGTAATTTTTAGGTTAAACTTCAGTCGTCTGACCCATAAGGGTTCCAAGTCAAATATGTTACATCTGTCGTAGTAGGAAATGCAAAGATTTTCACTTACTAGACGTTTGGTAAACGCCCTTTGTAGGCTTTCCAATTTGCACCTGTCTTTTACGGAAACACTGTCCATGACAGGAGGACAAAATTCAAGTAAGGGCCTTATGCATAACTTGTACAGCATAATTTTGGATTCACACGCTTTAAAGTTTCGGAATAAAAACCCAAAAAGCCTTTTAACCTTTGATACTTGTAATTTAACGTATTCCGTTAGGCTAAATTCTGGAGTGTATTTTAGACCCAAGTCTGTTGTAAGCGGCAGACGAGGAATATGATTGTTGTGTAGGGAGATGGAAAGTTCGGATGAAATGCCTTTGGAGCATAGCACACCACATTTTTCAACGTTAAACTTCATTTTCCACGTGTTACACCACAAGTGAACCCTATCAATATCATCCTGAATCCTATCAAATACACATGACACTTCATTTCTGAGTGAGTGGTATACTATTTTGATGTCATCAGCAAATAGGAAAGGTCTGCCATGTCTAATAACGTCGCAAATATCATTGAAATATAACAGGAATAACAGTGGACCTAGAACACTACCTTGTATGACTCCACTTGTTATCCGGACGGGGTTGGATGTGTGGGAACCTAACCTGACCATTTGCATCCGATTGCTTAGGAATGAACTGAGCCAGCTTAACAAAGAACCTTGGATCCCGTAAGACTGGACTTTTGATATTAACAGTCGGTGGCTTACTGTGTCAAAGGCTTTACTAAGATCTAAGTATACAATAACTGTGATCATACTGGAATCTTTCAGTTGTGAGATGTGATCAAAAAATTGTAAATGGCATGTAGTGCAAGAACGTGACTTCATGAAACCATGTTGATAAGGAGTGATAAGTTTCTCTTGAGAGAGGAAGTCAAAAATGGCACTTTTCACGATCTTTTCCAGAACCCTTGAAATAACAGAAGTTAGGTTAATGGGTCTGTAACTCATGACACTTGAACGGGAGCCTGACTTATACCTAGGGGTAATGTGCGTGGTTTTCCATGCATCTGGATATGTTCCAGTTGATAGAGAGATAGAGAACAATTTAAGAAAGAGAATAGGGATGTCTTCACCACCGTATTTTAAAAAAGTTGAGGGAATCATATCAGGACCAGGGTTGTTTGAACTTTTAAGGGACGTGATTGCTTTCTTAATATTATCCAAAGAAAAGCTGATAGTTTCTAAAGTTTTTTGTGAGCGTACATGGAATAGAGGTTGTGGCGACGTGTTGTCATCATAGGCATATGACCGTGAGAAGTAGGAGTTTAGAAGCTCACAAATTATTTTAGGGTCAGTAGCAGTCTCACCATTTTCTAAGATGAATTGTATATCTGTTTTACGAGAGTTTAGCCTTTTGCGATAAAGCTTACAGATTGCAGTGTATTTAGAGCTATCTTTAAGGGCTGCACTTTCTTGTCTGAGTAGAACTTTGTCGTTATTTTCTTTCAATCTGAGATAAATGTTCTGTATATTTACAAGACACGAGAAGTCATTTTCTTTGTAGTACTGTCGGTGCAGCTTTCGCAGCTTAGCCTTTACTTTTATAGGAATGAAATTCTTTATGTTTTGTCTTGGGCTCTCTTTACATTTAGGAACAAGTTTATCAAAGCATATAGTTACATTCTGGTAAAAGGCTATTAGGATAGTGTCTAGGTTGCTACTAGAAAAGAAAAGAAGTCTTGCCGGTCACATTTTTCAGTTGTTTGTAGAAGTCTTTCCCTCCCTCAATTCTGCTCCTTGTGTAGGAGCGTAGCATAGCATAACTGCAGTTTTTTACTCTGAATTGATCATAACCATCACGGTCAGGTGGCTTTATTGTATATCCCTCGATAAGTGTCGAGCTGTACTCCGTTGGCATAGTGGTTTAACTACAAGCTTTGTTTTCATATTCCTTTTAAACGAACTTTAGCGTTAAAAATGTCTTTTTCTGGCGAACATATTATCGGTGACATTGTATACTTGTATACTCGTGTTGATCATGGAGGTGACTGGTTCCCACTGCATATGAGCCTCTGATGCTGTTGGTGACATAAAGGTGGCCTCAGTGAGCTCAGCAGCGTTGTCTGGTAGGCCATGGTGGGTTGTTGATTCTCTGGTTAACAAACTTTAAGAGTCTAAAATGCATTTCGTCTACTCTCGCAGATTTTTAAACCCCTTATGCCATATGTTCTGATTTCTTTTACAGTCTGAGCAGTTTCGCTAGCGAGATTTCTAAGTCCACAAATTCGAAATTGACTTTGTCAAAAGTAGAGCCATCGGTCAAATTGCTTCCTTAAGACGTTAACTCCGTAACATTCGTCCGTGAGACTAGGATTCCATCCAGTATTGGGGAAGAGCCAGCTTTCTTTTATGTTTTTCCTTTGCTTTTTAGTTCATGTAGCGTCGTTTACTTCTTTTCAGGTGGGTTCATCGGCTACCTTTCCACCCTTCTTTCCCGGGCAAAGGACCGGTTAGTAAACTAATGAACTAGTAAGCTATGAAAGGTTTTTTCCAGAATTACAGATACAAAAATACATTTCACAGCTTCGACTGTGTGATGTTTATTTTGTTTTAACTTACTGAATGTTATATTACTGATTGCATAATTACGTTTGATGGATAGAGGATCACATAAGCGACTGTCAAACCATCGTTTTTTACGTAATCAACGAGTGCCCTAACTTTCTAAAGATTCTTCTTCGTTGATTAGTCACCTGTCTCAAGTTGACGTGTGATCTCTTTTAGATAGTCTCAAACCGACTAACTGACACTATTGTTGATGGGCATTTGAATTCATGAGGGCAGATATCCAAAGTAATTGTGTAGGATGCTGATATTCATTTTACTTACAGCTGCTTTCATGTGTCTCCTGGGAAAGCTAGAAAAAACATCACTAATATTTTTGCTCAGCCATCCAAATAAAGCACAATAGTTAGCATGGATATTCTATGAAGAGAAGGTGTACGGGAAGAACTGACAGGCATGCTTTGTGATATGTGAATAGGCCTATTCTGTTTATGGCAATTGTTGGCATATGAGTATAGCTAACACTAAAATTTTTACTTAGTCCAGATCCAATGGTTACTTTTTTCAAGTCTATCTGTACAAAGAATAACAGTCGGTACAATAAGGAATGTAAAAATCTCACTGTGTAAAATATCCTACTTGGAATGAAGTTATTATCATTATTGCGGAACATGTTACTGTTCACTAATCTTCTGGAGTTTAGAGACTGGGTCGCTTCGATACTGATACGCCATAGATGCGGGGGTGTCAGTGAAGAAAGGAGAGAAAGCACTCATGATCAAACCAGTTAGACAAGAGGAGAGGACTGGTTGAGATCTGAATTAACAGTTCACATGATTATGAACAATAAATTATGTTCGAAAGGTCATATAGTAAATAATACTTTCCCACTGCATGACGTATCTAACAAACAAATAATATGGAATTGGTTATTCACACACGGATTTTTATCCATCTAATATCACAAAACAAATTTTCCAGTTGTTCAGTGAAATTGGTTTCCTTTGCTTTGAAGTTTGTTAGTGTTTTTGGTTCAGTGTGTAACAAAAAAGATGGAATTTGCGTCTTTTAGTATCTCGTTGCATGGAGTATAAAAGACGAATGATCTAAATATCAGTACATTTACAACCATTGGATCAAGGAACACATTACGCTGTTTTTCCAGACAAAACTTTTCTACGCCTCTCATCAGTTCCACAGAACGGTTTTAATAAATGAGATTTAACCTAACTGGAGTTAACGCAATGACTTGAGTGCGCTCCCATTTATTTTCACTAAGAGTTCTCTGACCCTGGAACGTTTCTCGGCAGAAGTTGCTATGGCACTGTTTGTGGACAGCATTAAACAAAGGCAGGACAATCATGCAGCGAGGACTGAGTCCAAAGGGCCTACCCTCTTAAAATCTCATACTCTAAATGTGTAGTTACCTAAACTCATCGTCTTACTTCTTCATATTTTCTGTTGTCCGACTCTCCTAACTACTCCAACTATTACGTCCTTTACACCATTATTGTTTTTATTATTATGGATATATATATCAACTTGAAATTTCATTAGGTGTATGTTTTTACGCTCGCTTTATTTCTTTTTCTGTCTTTTAATCTGCACAGCTTACACTAATCGTATTCATTTTTATTATCTCTTTTTTTCTCGACACCGAGTGACTATCAGGTGAAAGGATCAAGTCAGTTTACAGTAGCATTACAGTCTTTAAACATCGCACCACTCATTTCGTAGTCAACCAGAGCTACGACAGCCAAGCTGAGAGATGAACTAGGCAGGAGTTTACCAAAGACTGAGAATCATTACCTCAAAACTAAGAAGCGAGCATAAAGAAGTTGAACTAACTTACACTCGTTAAAAACGATATTGGCTATCGGAAAAATTTGAATGTGGAAACGGGGTTTGGCGCGAATATCATGTGATTGCGTTACACTGCGGGACGTCACATTCTGCACTTGGTTGGAGTTGGTTTCACTATGGTAAAGTTTAACGAATCATAATGTCATCGGAAAATTGTACATATTTAGAATCCTACGACTCAGCAGCCAATGACTGAGCTGGAGTTACTGAGGATGCAGATGAATCAGAAGACCGATGAGGTACGATGAAATCACAGAACTAATAACATAATTCAGACACTCGACAGTACGAGGAATATGGTCCGTATATGTGACGAGGTAATTTTTGACTTTTGACATTGCAATCGAAGCTTCTTTTCTTCATTTTAATACATTGAAGCGTAGTGAATATAACTTCCGCTCTGCCGGACATAATATCAAAAATAAGGAAGCTCATGTTTTTTTCAGTAATAAATAATCCAACAGCGTTCTTTTTCAACTATATGTAGTTGTGTAGGGGTGCTAGCTACTTAGATTTCATTAGCTTATCAACAATCAAAATGGTGTTCGTTAATCTTAGTGTATCGGATGTATAAATTACTTGGGTTATGGATCCTTTTTCAGATAAAAGGATTTTTTCTTTTCATGGCATTGCTTTTAACTTGCAAAACCTGTTTGTTCAAATAGTATGCTCGTTTTCCCGTGTGTCAAGTATCTCTTGTCAATTTGCCTTTAATGTTCTTATCAATGCAGACCCACATTATGAGCTTGGTAGTGTATTTTACATCCTATGTCATGCACCAGTCTTCAGAAAGCTGGGGTCAAAATCAGTTTGGAATTTAGACGTAATATACTTAACACAGTTGATTCTTATGACATGAAATTTCAGATGACTTATTGTGGTAGATATAGGTAAGACATCGAAGGCAGAATTTTATGTATACATTCTCATATGCGGTGTTAACTAATATGTAAAAGGTACATTCACTTGTACCTGAAACAGCATGTTGTGGTTCAGATCAATTCCTAATAGCGTACTTGAAGTTATCTAATAAACTCCACTCGTAGTCACATCTAGTCTTCCAAATACTATCGTAATTTTATTTATTGAAAAGACGGAACCTGACACCAAAAAGATGTGCCAAATAGTAATACTAAAACAACATTATATAAAGAAAATACGGTGAGAATGGATAAAGGGTGTTCATCCAGAGAAAAGCAAGTATATTTAATAAGATCAAACACCATTCGTCGGATTAGTCTGGAACGGAATAAGGAAGGAAATCATACCACGTTCGCCATTGATTGCAGTTCTTGGCCATATGTGATAACGTTTTGAGCTACGGATCCGAACTATCTCTCGGACCCAAATCAGGCAGTTGTGATTTACCAACCGATGCTAACCTAAGACAAATGTCCTCCATCCCACGACAACACGTTATAGGCTAACCACCTCTACTTTTTCAATCCCGTCACCGGGCTAATGAACAGAGACTTGTACAGAATGGGGTGACATTATTAACGCATACCCAAGCCATAAAAGCTAGCGTTTCCTCCAGATTGTGGCACTGAGTGGCAGTCTGTACTGCATCCAAACACTACCAGACCTCAGAATTACTCACGCGATGATGCCATCGAACACAAGCAATTCTACGGAAATAGCGATGATCGCATATACAGATTCGCTGCACATTCTCAGCTCAGAGAGGCCAGGTTTCACAGATACATAGCAGGACAGCGCGCACTGAAGTACTGTGAAACTGACCTTTGACAGCCGGGTTAACGTCGCCACGACACCAGAGGTGGCTTAAATTGGCGTATGCCACACTAACTCGCACTATACGGTTAGAAATCTCGTCAGTCACGCCGCCAGCTCCCACACAACTTAACAACCTTTCGACAGCTTCAAGTAGTTCACCTGTACAGGTGAGTACAGATACAGGCTTCTGCCAATCATGCAACAGTATCTTGAACTTGGGCGGCTCGAGGCACTTGCCATACTTACATCAATTAATTGCTATTTGGGCAGCCTGCGTACTATCGCACAGTAAGACGATATTATCTGCATACTTGTGGTCAAAAAGTTTCTTCAGGAAGCAAATCTACACCACCATCACGTACTTCCTTCAAGGCTGACTCCAGAATGTCATCGATGGCAAAGTTAAAGAGAGTTGGAGAAACTGGACAACCCTGTTTAACCCCACTATTGGTTGGGAACAGTGATAATAGTTGGTTGTATACCCTCACTATGTATAGGGCTTTCATGATGCTAACAAATTTATCATCTACACCCCTCTTTAACAGACACTTCCAGCGAATCAATATCACCCCTGATATCAAGAAACACGACGATTGTTGACCTGCAATACGTGTTCTAGCAGCTTATGAAGGGTGAACACATGATCAATGCATCCACGACCTGAGGGAAACCCAGCCTGCTCATCGCGAATTAACTCCTCATGTGTTTTGCGCAGCCTGCGAAGCAAGACAGTAGCCGAAATCTTAGATACAACTGGTGGCAAACTAATACTTCCATGGTTGTTGTAAAGCCATTTGATATCTCAATAAAGTTCACACGAGAAAAACTTGAAGTCACTCTTAGTAAAGTCTGAACTTTCAATGGGGGCAGATATTCGTTTACCAAAGTCTTCAAAGCATCACATGTACATTATTAAAGTAAAGAAAAATCTATGGGTTGGAATTTCTTAAATGTGTTGGCTGGGATGTGGTCAGTTAGTAGTATAGACATATACGTCGTCCAACGGAAATGTGGTTCCAGGTCGTGAAGGTTCCGACTGTTGATCTCTGAGATCTAGAAAAATTCAGGCTTTTGGGTTTAGATTTACGAAACAGATGACATCACTAGTTGCAAACAATAAATGCAACTGACCAACAGTTTTTATGAACAGTAACGATATGATAGCTATATTATTTGTCTTGAGGAAACATACCGAACTTCCAGTCTTCGGTTAATTTGGTCATTCTATAGTATAAATGTGACCTATTCTTGGTGTATTAGAATACCGTTAAAATCTAGGATTTTATTGCAAGTTGCTGATTGCTGAAAATACATGCTGCAACCTAAAACTGTATAGTGTTATTGAAAGAAAATTGATCTAAGTTCGGTAACTTCATAATAGTAAATAGATATGTTACTGTCTCAGTTATATTACCTGTAACTACTTTTCATGTTTGCGTTAATCTCGAGGTACATTTTAGTATTACTGGAAGAGTGTGCTTGGTATCATTTATTTGTAATGGTGTACATATGACAATGTGCCTAGCATACTTGGCTCTTAATGATTAGTGCACATCAGTTATTGTGGCAACAGTTTATTCACTTTTAATGCGGCTGATATTTATATTAGTAGTAGTACTCTCGTTTGGAATATAGTAAGTTAGTAGATAAATTTGCTCAGCATCTCTCACTAAAATCACTGGACCATTTTTAACAGTTTTCTAGTCGTGGAGATGTGGCTCATTCGTTTAAAATACTTGACTATCAGTCAGTAGGCCTTGGGTTCGAGTTTGGATCCATGTACTTTTTTAGCCAGGACTATGTGTTAGTGTCGTCGTTAATCCTCACACAAACAGATATGGCTCATAACCCGGTATCAGATGAGTTCTAACAAAATAACAACACTAGGTTGCGGTGCTATGTGCTATGATTTTGAGATTAAAAACATATTCTGATAAAGGCTATTTATTATCACAGGAGTAAATAACACCGATGTAAACTCACTAGTTAGTGATGTAGTTGAGGTCTAGACAAATACTAAGCGTAGGCTTATTATTTATTTATTATTTTTGATCAAAAGTAAAATGCTCGTGTTTTTGAAACGGCACATACCATATTTTAATTACCTTTGTATGTGTGAAACCTATTTTGTATATATTTTTTTTAGAGTACAAAAGTTGGTGCCCAAACTCTTGGGATGTTACACTCTCAGGGTGGTAAGTATATTCCAACTCGACCTATTTATGTCAATTTTCATGCAAATATGATGCAATTTATGGGTTACATTGAATTCGACATCACAAATCCTGATGTGCTCGCCTGCATAGGAGATGCATGACAGTAATATGTCGACTGAAGGCTTTACTCTACCACAGTGCACAAGTTTTATTCTTATATCAATGAAGTCTTTATGTTTCCACACCAGCTCTTTCTGGTGTGTAAAGAGTTAAAGCTAAGTTGCCTTGCTTACTACCTGCATAACACGTGTTTACTAAAGTCAGAGTTACATTAGTTTTTGTAGCTGAATATGAAACCATACGAAAGACTCCCAAGTATAGTTGTCAATAGTCTACTATAGTCTAGGAAGTGTTTGGGCGGTTGTTACTTCCCGTGGAAGTTGATTGATTCTTCGGGTACCTGAAACACAAAAAGGGTTAGTGTTGCGTGACCGCATAGCCCAGGGGACAACTTCTTGATGCTGGCCGGTCACACATGGTCTGCATGAACTGGTTTCTTGGATTGGTTCCGTATTAGTAAACTTACCGCCGGTTACGGACCACCGTAGGGTAAGTCGGGATGTACAATTTTTGGGGTCGACCTTTTCTAACCCCCTCTCTTCGGAGTGGAGAGACAGCATAGCTGGCATGCTGGTCATCTGAGGGAAACACCTCACTGCTGTTACACCCCTGTTCCCCAGCAGTACGACTTCACCCACGGACACCCAGCATAGTGTAGGAAAGATTCTTGCACCATACTGGCAACTACTTATAATCTAATCGCCATCCTGGCATGCTAGAACCTGCAGGAACATTGGTTCCAGCCAGTGTAGCTTATTGGGTCATCGCGATGTGCGAACCCGACCACCACGTCAAGGTAGTAGCTATTGATCATATCTTCACCCTTCGACAGATTCTAGAACATAGGCATTCTTACCGCCGTCGAACAGTCATTATGTTTCTTGACCTAAAGGCGGAATTCGATTCTGTCGACCGAGAGGTTCTCTGGCGATGCTTGGCTTTAAAGGGAATGCCGAGAAAATACATCGCACTGATCAAGGAACTTTACTCGAAAGCATGCAGCCAGGTGAGGGCTTACGGCGAGTTGTCATCTGGAGTGGTGACGACTAGTGGTGTCCGTCAGGGATGCACACCATCTCCGTTCCTATTCAATTTCGTCAGAGATGTACTAATGAATTTAACCCTAACTCACTTCAGAGACTCAGGGATTGACTTGCTACCAGGAAATAATCTCGTTGACGTAGAATCTGCAGATGATATAGTCCTTCTAGGCGAGGACTCTGACAAAATGCAGAGTCGTCTGAACACCTTGAGCCGCAATCTTTGTATGTTTGGCATACGATTCGCTCCCGCCAAATGTAAGATGATGAGGCTACAGGACTGGACTACACTGACTTCTAGTTTAGAAGTAGGGAGTGAAGTGGTAGAGCACGTTGACGACTTCACTTATTTGGGAAGTTGCATCAGCGCCAACGGGCTGATCTCTGACGAAATCTCAGTACGGATACAGAGGGCTAGTTTCGGATATGACAGTTTACGCCGTCTCTGGCGTAGACGTGATATCCGGCTGGCTATCGACCCAAGTGTGTGTGTACTGCTCAACAGTCCGCTCCGTCCTCCTTTATGGCTGTTGGTGAGACCTGGCCATTGAGAGTGGAAGATATGAAAAGGTTGACTGGCTGGCTGGTTGTCTTTGATCATGGGTGCCTGTGTTCTATCTCCTGTGTGAAGTGGTAGGTGTAATAAGGTGAGCAATATTGAGGTAAGGCGTTGAGTTCTAGGTAAGCAATGAGGGGAAATCAATCGACGAGGCTGTGAAGCAGCTGCATCGACTGAGATAGATGGTTAGGACATGTGTTATACGTACATCCCTAGTCATCGCCTTCCTTGACAATGGGTAATGTTAGTTGATATAGGGTCAGACTGGAAAAGAGCTAGTGGCAATCAAACCAAAACATGGCACCAGTCAATGAAATCCACAATAGTTAGTTTCAGCCAGCCACGTAGGAAGGTGTAGACTGGTTTCCTGGTTGGGTTCCTCGGGATGGTAGAAACCAATGGTTGGAAACAATTGGTGATATGACTGAAAATCCTCGTTCTAAATGCCTGGCGCAGATGCATCCACTCCTTGTGAGTTATGATTTTCAATGAAACTATATTGTTCTTCGTTATTACTATTCCTTTGTCTCACACCTCTGTTTACTGTCTATATTATGCATTTCTCCCACTTTCTTCTCTTCCTTTGTGTGCTACAAGCAGGGAGTGTGGCGGCTTGAACTGCCGCACATCGGTGAAAAGTTCTATGTCAAATACAGACAGAGAGACTATAGTCTAGGTAGACACCGATTCACACTGACAAACCTGAAAAGGCTGTATTAATGCATGTGTAAAACCTGGGCACTGTGGTAGGAAGCAATTCGATATCAGTTTGTTTATTAGATGTATCACACGGTGAAACAGTATTATTTACTGGATGACGTTTCGAACAAAATATATTCTTCATAATCATATCTTCAATTATAATCACACGACTTCGAAACCTGAGTTTTATAGTTGTTTTCTTTGTCCTCTCCTATTTGTCTTCGTAGGCTCAGTAGTAACATTCTCCAGATGTCCGGCTGGACAGGTGATGAATCATTCCTATTACACGTGTTGATTTGCAGTTGATTCGATAAACAAAGCTTCCGTTGTCATCAATCTCTCCCTCCACCCAGCTGTTACATTAGATTTTAAAACTGTCATCTTATCCCATCCATCCTATTGTATGGAGTGGTTGTGTGTAATTGCATGTAGTGAGTGCTGTCTATGGCTGAACTATTCTCTAGATTTCTTATCTTATTCGGGTCAACTAATCTAGAATTTGCTGCTGGGTTTTTATGCTCGGCTAGTCCGACTGCCCCTGTTCTACTACTTTGACCTAACAATCAATGCAGGCGGGGTATTAGATGAACTGAATTGTTTTGTTTAATGTGCTGTTCCACAGGATTGATCCTTTAACCGACAAAGCATGTTTCTAATTGAGTTTGTGGGTGATTTGAATCTCAACCACTTTTATTCCTGCCAGCCTTGTTAAGAATTCTGTGTAAGGTTTCCGAGGTTCCTTCCTTGTATGGAATTACTGCTGATGATTTAGATTCCTTATTGTTGGTGTTGTCTTGCGCACATTTGACTTGCATGTCGTCATTAATATTACTATTATTATTACTATCACTATCACTACTATCATTAATTATTTTATTTTTACATTTCCCTATATATTTCCTGACTAATTTATCAGGGTAATTATTAAGTTTCAAGGCTTCTGTTAAATGTCTCACTTCATGTCTTAGACTTTCCTTCGTACTACTTAGTTTTTGTGCTCTGTCACTTAAACATTTCACCAATCCTATTTTTACTGACATAGACAAGCTGGGATGATCGGAAGTCCAAATATCTGTTTGAATGTGTGGGTTTCCTGTAAACACACACTAGTGTTTAACTTCCATCTTCTTTCCTTTTTACGCTGCAATCTAACATTGGAAGCTCCTCTTCCTGACTTTCCAATTCATAAGTGAATTGAATTGCCTCCACCTTTGAGTTAATGTCTTCGAAAAATCTATCTATATCCTGGCACTTAAACAAAATGTATTAATGTAACTTCTTCACTATTCTCTGGTTAGTATCAACTGACGCCAAAAACTAACAACCTCAGTACAACATATAGTATTTCTATAGTTCGCAGGCCAGCATCTCCCACTAACTTCACAGTTGATTTTACAAATTCTCCTACTTATGAATTGTCTGAATATTTACCTACGGTATTAAATCCTATTTGGAAACCACTCAAAATGTAGACTCCCCACTTCTAATGAACTGAAACACAAACTGGATTAGTTAAAATTACGTAGGCAAGATGAAACGATGGTTAGTTTCCACATCATCAGTTTATACACGCAAATACCGATAAATACGGTCACAGATTGGTCAGAAACAGACTCATATCGGACTTAAAACTTCAAATTGCAACAAAAGTACCACTAGAAGGTATCATACTAGAAGAGCACCTATATCTGACTTCTACATCATTGCAATTCCAAGGGAAATTGTACAAACAAACTGAGCGTACTGGCAACGGATCACCAATATCCCCCACAGTCACAGGTACATTTGTGCTTACATTGGAAAACTTAGTGCTGAGACGTTCAGACCCAACCCAAAATATGGCGGAGGTATGCAGACAACATATTCACAGTGGTCAACTAAATGTAGTAGTGCTAAGGGATTTCTCAATCGAAGACTGAGAGTTGGTCAACAATAACAACAACAACAAGAAATTAGAGAACACAAACAAAACTAACACTCTTACCCAGAAACATCAGATGGTGCCATTAACAGATGCTTCCGCAAGCCTCTTTGTATCGCCACGTTTCGGCATGTGCCTACGAAAGCTGGCGAACTAACCTTTAGGGCGTTGAATAATTCCTCAACTGAAGTGAATGATCCCAAAGATGCCTGTGCTCCACATGATAGACATAGGTCTGGATCACATTCTCTGACAGCCAAGAAAACACGGGCATAGTTTCGCGTTACACTCACCATAGGATGTCGTGGTCAGTGTAATACGAAACTATGCCCGTGTTTTCTTGGCTGTCAGAGAATGTGATCCAGACCTGTGTCTGTCATGTGGGGCACAGGCATCTTTGGGATCATTCACTTCAGTTGAGGAATTATTCAACGCCCTAAAGGTTAGTTTGCCAGCTTTCGTAGGCACATGCCGAAACGTGGCGATACAAAGAGGCTTGCGGAAGCATCTGTTAATGGCACCATCTGATGTTTCTGGGTAGGAGTGTTAGTTTTGTTTGTGTTCTCTAATTTCTTATTATTCTTGTTATTATTGTTGACCAACTCTCAGTCTTCGATTGAGAAATCCCTTAGCACTACTACATTTAGATGACGACTGTGAGTATGTTGTCTGCATACCTCCGCCATATCTTGGGGTT